TGTGCAGATGAGTCCTTGTACTGGGGGTAAAACGTTTTTTGAAAATTAGACAGATGTTCAACTTCAGCTCTCAGGAGCTCTGCACTTCTGTTATGTTCTGAGTTATGGAATGGAATGCCTTGCCAGATCAAAGGAAAGACTGATAAGATCAGATGACAGGCATGTAACCATGGAAACGTGATGACATCACACAGTGTGAAATGGTTGCTATTTATGCCATATATGGTTACATTGCAAGATCAAAGAGTGATGACATCAAATGACACTATGTCGGATGTCATCAAATGGTTTCTATGGTTACATTCCTGCAAAATAAATACTTTATTTTCTCCACTGTATCACACACAAAAAGGAGAACTATACTTGAATCTCGGAAATCAACAAAAATATCCCAAACCGCTATGAACACAATTTCCTTGTTATCTTTTTTTTAAAACGCGTGCATTAATATTTTTGATCCGTTATTAAAAAGTTAGCACTCCTTCACGCTGCGAATCAGAGTCAGAGGAAGGCGGGTCTCTTGGCGTAGGTTGGATTTGAAAGAATGGCGGAGGCAGCTTCAGACATAGATATTATATATAAAGGCCTTTGTATATAATATCTATGGCTCAGATACATCCGCCCGCGTCCAGCTCTGAACCGAAAGCGGATGCAAAAGTACCGACGAGAGTGGGAGGAATCACCGGGGATCGCAGCGTTATTTTGTATTGAAGGTGGAAACCCTACTCACTACTTTTACCACAACACCCTTTCTTTTATTAAATACATTTGATTTTAACCTTTCGATCACCGATGCCCTCTGTCCGTCCGGCGTTTCTTCATTTTGAACAGACACACACTTCATTTTATATTATTGTTACTAATGGCCCGACGATATGAAGCGCTGATAACAGAATAAACTACAGATCCCATAATGCAGCGCTTCAGCTGCCTTGCCGAGCGCTTTCCGTGGCGTTTCTGGCTGACATAACCGCTCGTCTCAACGCCTTAAACCTCCAGCTCCAGGGACGTGACCGCATGATCACTGACATGTATGACGCAGTGAAGGCATTTCCAGTGAAGCTGATTTTATGGGAGACACACATGCACCAGTGCAACTTGCCCCACTTTCCCTGTTGCCAAGTAATGCGGCACAGCGGTGTTCCCAAATACGCACGTTGCTGATAAACTGAGCGCACTGCGCGCGGAGTTCGCGCGGCGCTTTGGTGATTTTGAGGAACAAAAAAATAATTTTGAGTTGTTTCGCAACCCATTTGCCGTCGACGTGGAAACTGCACCTGTGCAGATGCAGATGCAGCTGATTGAGCTGCAGTGTAATGGGACACTAAAGACAAAGTCCGACACTGTTTATTCGCTCCAGTCCCGCAGCAATGTCCCAGCTCCGTCTACATCGAACCTTGTGCATGTTTGGTAGCACATATCTGCGTGAGAAGCTGTTCTCAGTGAAGACAAACAAAACAGCACACAGGAGTCGTCTCACTGATGAACCTTCAGTCCATCCTGAGAGTCTCCACAACACGGGACCTCGCGCCAAACATAAACCAACTTGTTGCCAAAAAAAAGATGCAAAGCATCCAGCTCTGATAAAATGGCATAAGAGCAAAGAAAACTGAATGTTTTGCATCGTTATTTGTTATTTCTGAAAAGCACAAATTTTTCCAGGTTTTGTTTTGTTTTGCAGCATGTTCATATTTCTAACTTGTATCATTTTGTCAGGAGATATCTTTATGGAGAGTAAAATCATTTGTGATATTTAAAATCTAAGGTTTTTTTTTTTATAAAATGACAAAAGCAAAGAAACTCAAATGTTTTGATTTGTTATTTATATGTTTACTTAAAGCACAAGCACTGTCACAATTTTTTAGGCGGTTTTTGCAGCATGTTCATATTTCTAACTTGTATAATTTTCACTGATATATTTTTATGGAGAGCAAGATATTTTAGGTTAAGTTAAGTTAAAGTTTATTTATTGCAGAATAACATTCCTGTCTGTTTGTATTCATATTTATGTTAAAAGAAACTTTTAGTTTTAGTGTGTTCAATAAATGTTTATTCTGTTCGGCCCGCGACCTGAAGTGTGTTTTGAATTTTGGCCCCCGGTGAAATTGAGTTTGACACCCCTGACCCAGAGAGTCACGTCTTTGTGTGTGGAAGTTGTTGGTTTGTTCATTTATTTATCATGGACTTTATTGCCTCGTGCTTTTTTCGCGGACATATTTGTCCCGTATTTTCCTCCACAACTTTGTGCACCTCTTGTTCTCCCTCCATGAATCGCAGTAGGACCGAGTGCGAAAAGTGGTCGGTGGAAGCTTCCTTTGTCCGGACGGCAGGCTCCGGTGGCCGGTGGCAGGTTCCCTTTTCGGAGCGGCAGGTTGCATTGGTCGGTGGTCGGTTCTTCCGGTGTTCGGTGGAAGGATCCTTTTTCAGTAGAGACATGGACCCGCGTCCTCCTCCTCATGCAAATCACATGTTAACGAGTATCTTCACGGCCACGCGTTCGCAGTAAATCATTGTTTCTAACTTTATTGAGAATCAGGCACAACACAGCGACCTGCAAGCAGCGCAGCGTCTTTAATAAAGTGATGTGTGTCTTAATGCGATGCTTTAGAAATGAACACACAGGGATTCTGTATTTGTTCATTAAGTCTGAAAAGGGTCATTTGGGCAACGTTTTGATAACCGACCGCAGCCAGCGGGGAGAGAGCACCAGCGGACTGACGGCAGCCCCCCGCCCCGCACCCCCCTCCGCACCCCGGCCACACCGTCCACTCGACCACTAGAAATGGGTCATTTAGCGCGCGCGCTCGATCCACATGTCCCTTTATTGTTTTAGCGTTGCCTCTTTGATTATCGCCACCGTCCTACGAGGTGAACGGCGGCTCACATGAACCGTCGCCACCTTCCCGTGATGAAATTGCGCTTCTATGTTCATGTTGAGTTTGTATCCTTATGTTTGAAATGCACTTGTAACCCTCATGAAGTTAGGGCTACTGATACCAGTAGTAGTGGCAGTTATTGCCTCTGGGGGGCGCGCTTGCGTTCCGCTCAAGGGAGCTACCCACGAAACCCACGAGCGAGGAATCCCTTTTTCATTTAGCTGACGCTTTTATCCAAAGCGACTTACGTTACATTTTTAACCCATGGCTTTACATTTACATTTTGCCTGGGAGGTGTCTTGCCCAGGGACACTTCGACATGGAGCAGCCGGGACTTGAACCACCAACCTTGCGGTTCCCAGTGCACCCTCTCTACCCCCGCGCGCTAGTGATGGCAAAGTGAAGCTTTCTGAACCAGTGAAGCTTTCCAGCCAATTGTATCGGAAAAAGGTTCATTCATTCAATGCATCGCAAACTCTATGATGACCTCTGCTGTTGAAAATTTGTAGTGCAAATGTATCGAATAGCCCACCAGTATATTTTGGCCCAGTCTCTGTGGGTTGAACATGATTATGAAAAGTTGAACCAATAAATCATCTAATAAATACATGGATTCCTATATGAATAAAACTATTGTTTTTCAGGATTGAATTGTGTCCTTGTTTGTGTATTTCAATTCTCTGTACATTGGAAAGAAGGAAGGACAAACACTTATCTATGTCTTTCTGCACCTTTGTGCATGTATGTTTGTGATCATACTAGCAGAATAATTAATAGAAGATATATAATATATATAATAGAAGATTATATATAATATATATAATAGAAGATTATATATATATTATGTATATAACATATATATAATATATATATATATATATATATATATATATATATATATATATATATATATATATTTGACATGTAAGCAATATAATTTAAAATATCAGCAAGTGCTTCCTACTGCATGTGCAGTTCATGGCAGTCATAGGGACTTATGTGTATTGTTTGAATGTGGGAAGTGATTTGCAGAGGAAAGGTCAGTGGGGCAGTGATTGTGCTTTTGGGCAGGTTTCTTATGACAGGATATTGAGGTGCTTGTGGACACATGGGATGGGGCATGAAGTTATTATTGATTTTTATTGAGAAACACAATTTTCTCCATAGAATTGGGGTTGAGTCGGTTTCTTAGATACTATTTCCCCTGCCTTACAAAAAAGGCGCTTACACGACACGATGAGGCAGGAATGCTCATAAGATTACGTGCTAATACAAATAGATGTGGGTACACATGTTTGTGTTTGATCCAATATTTTAGCGGGTCTTCACTCCGTGGAATGTTTGATTCAGCCAAATATCGGGTGGTCTCCACAATAAAAATAAACATCCATAATTACACAATACAAATGACAGACTTTGTCTGCCTATTACAAACCTTGTTAGAGGAAATACAATTGAAGCGCTCCCACATCTCGGAGCGACCTCTCTTTGCCACAGGTTCCATTGTAAATTTGCTCTTTGCTACGACTACTACTACAACTACTAGTACTACTAATACTACAACAACACTGACTTTGACTGTATCAAACAGACACGCCCCGACCCTGGTTCGCGCCCATTTGAATCAATTCGAAGCGGTCACGTGACTGTGCGCCGGAACGAAGCTTCGGACGTCACTGATGACGTCACTGAGCCGGAGCGAAGCTTCGGACGTCACTGATCACGTGATCAGCAGCGAACGAACCGAGCACCGATACATTTGCTTCGCCCTGCACTGGTTCATATTTCGACACAAGCTTCGAAGCAGGAGGGTGGGAGGTAACAACACTAGTGCTCACTGTATCGTGGAGGAAACATCGAGTTTAACCGCTGATGTCTTTGCGTTGCAGTTTGGAATATTATAGGATGCGTTATTTACAGTTCAGCCATGCAGCTTATGTTAAGTAGCAGATGGCAATGGTTTGCTATGCAAGTGCATTGCAGGTGCATAGACTCTAAATAGCCTAAGCATATCTTAAATTAAAGCTATTCTCATGTTAAGTATGGTGATATAATCACATAACGTATTAAGGGAAAAAGATAAACCCTTTAGTTAGTGATGTGGAATACTGTATCGTTTTGAATTGTACCTTATTAAGTGAAGTTGTAATGTTATAAGAGTATTTCTGTGATGTTGTTTTATCATCTCAATGTAATCTGCGTGCAACCGGGTGATGGTTATACATATAGAACAGAAAGGAATGAGATCTCATGTAAGAACTAGAATTAGAAAGCACACTGATTATTCTGCACTTTGTGTAGATTGGTTTTTTATGCACACTAGAAGAACCTGAACCCTGTGAATCTGAATGCTGAGATGGCGAGCTAAACCCGGATCGTGGATGCGGTGTGGCCGACCGTATGATCAGACCCAACCTGATTCGTGTATCGAGAAGACGTCAGACTCCAGTCCTGCCGCCAGGTAGACGGTAGGAAGGTAGTTCAGAGAGACCGTATACATAAAGACCCGCACCAGAACGGAACTCGGAACTTTCACGCACACACTATTTACGGACTGAACGGATTATATCCTTGACTTGTGTATATATCTACTCTGGGAAGACTGAGTTCTTTCACAAGAAGCATACAATTTCCCGATCATCTACTCTTCTTTTGTTTTTTCATTTCACACTGTTTTATATTGTGATTGTTGCATGACCGAGTGAAGCAATAAACTGGTCATTCGTTCAACTTCTTCTTTGTTTTAAACCTACCTCTCCTTCGATCCTAGGTAGATATTCAGTGGTTTTTCCTAATACTAGTCCCAGACAAGTGCTACACACTTATTGTAACCTCAGTCGCTTTGGATAAAAGTGTCAGCTAATGTAATGAACGACCTGTCAGTCTGTTCTGGTCATGTGCACGGCCTGTCAATCTCTGTGATTACATCTACCACTCATGAACGTTAGGTCAGTCCGATTCAATCCTTAACAATTTTCCACCAACTGAAATAGGATCCATGTCAGTGAATTCCCCCTTTTGACCTCATGAAAATGCAGGTTCTAAACTAGATCACATTTAACCTCATTGATGGGGTCTCCAGTCGCAGTGTCCCTTTCCTGCATGGAGGGAGCATTGTTGGAACAACTTTGTGTCACTCAGAAATAAGAACAGAATCTGTTTTATTTCCCATATATGCGTATTTGTATAAATTTAATTTCGCCTACTTGTCAGGTCTCAAAACAGTTCATTCAATAAACAGGAATATATAAAATAAAAATTTGAAATAATAATTTAACTATGCAATATAAAATATATATTCCAAATTATGCATAATACATATATTTGACCTTATATTTAACAAGTTGTCTCCCTAGTCCGTAGGATCTGCAGTAATCTTTCCTGCCTGTTTCCTCGCCCTGCAGATGTACAAGTCCAGGATGGAGGGCAGTCTTGTGGCAATCATTCTCTCTCCGTTGTAGTCTGTGGTCTTGTTTGGTGGCCAATCCAAACCACACAGCGATGGAAGAACAGGGAGTAGACATGATGGGAGAGTAGAAGAAGCAACCCCCGGTATGATGGTGTTCAATACAGAGCTAAAGTCCACAAACAAACAGATCCCCCAACACCAGCTTCTCCAAGGGTTTCATCACCATAGGCGCAGGACGATGGGCCTGTAGTCATTTAATCCTGTGATGGTGGATTCTTTGCACCCGGGATGATGGTGGAGCATTCAAAGCACGAGGGGACTTCACACAGCTCGAGTGATCGGTTGAAGATCAGCGTGAAGATGGGGCAAGCTCGTCAGCACAGATTTTCAGGACAATGGTGACACATCAAATAATAAAAAGAAAGTAGTATTAGTCAAACAATTTATCTATATACTGTTGTATATCTTTAAACATGGGGCGGGAGGGTTGTATATTTTACGTTTTCTTTCTGGGATACATTGACCATAAAAGCATTCTCTATGTGGATCCACTTTTTGACCAAATAACTATGTATGATGTGTTAAAATCGTGCAATGCCATCATCCGTTGATAGGACAAACTGTGTAACAAATGTAACAACAGGGTCAACTAACAAGCATGGCGGCACTGGTGATCATGTCATGTGACACTAATTCTTTTTGGGAAATATTCTACAGAGATCGCCGATCACCTTTTTCAGCACAATGACAATGTTAATTTTGTGTTAACATAAACTGGAATACTACAAACAAATCAGTAATAGCACACTATCAAACTTTAGTATTGGTCCACAACTACTGTACCTGAAGAACATGACTTACTTCTCAATAGATCTTTCAAGACAGCTGCTAAAATGTCAGTTCTGTCTTTATTAAATCACTTCTTAATAGATTCTTATCAACAATAATTTATTCTACATTTGTACCTGTTTTTCTGCCTCAAATCCCTATTAAACTTAAATCTGAACACAAAGCGACTGAGGTTTCAATAAGTGCATTTCAAACATAAGGATACTGTGACAGGTTCGTCCTATGGGGGGGTCCCGGAATGATGCGCATGCAGCGTCTGGTCCATTGAAAGTGCTTTATTTCAATGTTCCCACACAATAACACACAGCCGGCTCCAGCCTCCTCGCCTCTCAGCACCGTCTCGCTGTCGCCGGATGTCTCCCACTTAAAGGTAGAACACACAGCTTGGTTAGTCCCACCTGAGGCTGACTATGCCTCCCCCGGCACCGTTCCCTGAACCACTCCCTTCTCCGTCCCCCCTGCAGCCGAGCCAAACCGCGCCCGCCACCGCAGATACAAACTCAGCATGAACGTAAAAGTGCAATTTCATCACGGGAAGGTGGCGACGGTTCATGTGAGCTGCCGTTCACCTCGTAGGACGGTGGCGATAATCAAAGAGGCAACGCTAAAACAATAAAGGGACATGTGGATCGACCGCGCACGCTAAATAACCCATTTCTAGTGGTCGAGTGGACGGTGTGGCCGGGGTGCGGAGGGGGGTGCGGGGCGGGGGGCTGCCGTCAGTCCGCTGGTGCTCTCTCCCCGCTGGCTGCGGTCGGTTATCAAAACGTTGCCCAAATGACCCTTTTCAGACTTCATGAACAAATACAGAATCCCTGTGTGTTCATTTCTAAAGCATCGCATTAAGACACACATCACTTTATTAAAGACGCTGCGCTGCTTGCAGGTCGCTTGTTAGCAGAGATGGTTCGCTCAACGGTCCCGGCGTTCATACCCAATACTAGGCCGAATATTATCGCAGTACAAATAACACAAGTGGAGCATCATGGCTGTTTGACTTGAACTGAGTCGTCTTTATTGAACGCAGGTTCACTTGACCTCTGTTAGGTCACATGTCCATTCAGGGGCATCCTATTGGCTACCGCTTAACACACAATACTGTATAGGAAAAGTAAATATAACAGATTGCGACAATGGAGGGCATATACTCATATATGTTAACATCGCTGTGTTGTGCCTGATTCTCAATACAGTTAGAAACAATGATTTACTGCGAACGCGTGGCCGTGAAGATACTCGTTAACATGTGATTTGCATGAGGAGGAGGACGCGGGTCCATGTCTCTACTGAAAAAGAAATATGAACATGCTGCAAAACAAAACAAAACCTGGAAATATAAATAAAATTTGTGCTTTTCAGAAATAACAAATAACAATGCAAAACATTCAGTTTTCTTTGCTCTTATGCCATTTCATCAGAGCTGGTTCCAGCTCTGATAGGATCTCATACTGCATGAAAAGTGGGATTTTCGGCAGTATGCGGCACTGTAAATTGTCGTAGAATTTCAGGTTTGCGGCAATTTGCGGGTAACGCCGAAAACTGCCGTAAATTGTCAGAAATTGATGTGGGCCTCCCTTGGCAGTTGTTCCCCCATGACCCCCCTCCTCCTAATTCTAGAGGAGGCTTTGACATGTAAATGAAAATGCGGTGAGCTATACAAACGCAAATCAGGGTTTTAGCCCAGGTGACATTTTTTTAAAAGGTAAGAAAATCTCTGGTACAAATAGATCAGGCTCAGTAGCCTAATTATAGTCTTACATTTTAGCTTGAATTGATTAATTTATTTCAAATATGCTAGATTACTGTGTACGCCATTAGCAATGGCAAATGTTATGTAAAAAAGATACACAAAATAACTTCTTTAAAAAAATAGTTTTAATCGAGGTAAAATGAGCATTCCATGCAAACAACATTTGAATCAGCATGAGGGGTCTGCAGAGATCACAGTCTCCTAGAGCTCAACTACAGTGCATAGTGGCAGGACTACAGTGACCTTTTCTTTGGACTTACTTAAATGCACAGAGGATGTATTAACCACACATCTTCTAGCAATGCGCTCACCTGGCAGAAATGATGCTGGGTACGACGTATCTGTTCCCTGCAAGCCCCAAACTTCTATTGGCTTTCCATAAAAATGTCTGTCCGGGTGGAGATGAAGCCAGGAAACTTGTGCAAGAACATGTTTAAATGCCGTACCCTTTGACACAACATTAACAACTATAAACTGCTTTATAACGGCGGGTCGTAGTTCTGCTAGAGGGTCAAGGACGGGTTCCTCAAAACTGTTGTGTTTCCACACCACTTAGCATGAACACATGCTGACCTTTATGCTCTGCATCTATCGATTGAGTAAGTTACATTCATATATGTTACCCGTTTACATGTCATGGCAAAACATTCAACCTCAGTGACACAAGGGTACATGTGATGATACATTGTCAACATTGCATGTCTGTCAGACTCATTGTCTGGTGGAATGGAGAAAGAGGCACCACTGTACAGTTTTCTAGGGAAAGTCGTTCTGCTGACACCAAAACACTGCTTTACATAAAGCATATCAGCTGTTTCAAAGTCCCAACCATTTGTCTTCCTAAAATACTGGTCCTTCCGTATAACAATAACCTCGTATGTGATTGGAGGACCCTTAGACTCCTCGTCCAATCACGTGTGAGGTCATAAGCATGACTGATACAGCAGTACTTGCAAGACGAGCATACAAACAGACACGTGTGTTACTATATTCAGAAGAACTATATCTCCAGTTCCTTCGTTTGGTGTTTGCTGGTTTGTGGATAATGGCTGGACGACGTCTCACGTTCAACTCGCCTTCAACTCCTCTCCGCGGTCACCAACTTTCGGCCAGTCCGCAGACAGACAGAAGAAGCTGCTGAAAGCTCTCAGTGGATCGTCTCGTCACTCCAACAACAAACTGCCGATATCAACGAGCGGTTCGCTCCACTGGAGCGTTCGGGACTCTGCGGGTTTCTGTCCATGGAGGAGAGGAACCGACTCAAAGAAGAGGAGACGGGCGCACAATCCCAAGATGGCGGTAAGAATACGTTCGATGACTGCTAGCTAAGCTAAAAGTAGCGTAGCCTCAAGCTAAGCTAAGAGTAGCCTAGTAGCCTTACAAGTGAGCAGAAACAGCTTTATTAAAGTGTGTTTTCTTTGCCGTGTCGTTTACAGGAAGCGGTGCGCCGTCTTCACAACTCCGAGACGAACTACAGGCGCCACGAACCGGAGCAAGGGTCAGATTTAAAGAATATGCTTTCATTCTGTGCTATAAGGGAATATATACGTATGGATACCGATCATAACTGTACATTTTGTTTTCACAGACTAATCTCGCCTCATAATGAGGCGGTGACCTCGTATTTGCTCCGGGAAAAGTCCAGATTTAGACGACGTCATTGTGTGTAAGTGACACTGTTTCTCCTTGTTAAATGTTACTGTGACTTGCGTTTGATTTTTTTTGTATTCATACCACACTCATTTAATTGTTTTCCAGCCGCCTGTGAGACGTATTGTGAGACGGGACGCAGGAGCTTCAGGTTCAGGCGGAACACTCATTGCGGGCGAAAGCTGCGAAGGATTCAGTGCGGAGTCGAGCGAGAAGAAAGAGGGTCAGAGTTTATTTGCTGACTTGTTTCAGGTGCATTGATAGATGTGTTGTGTCCGTACGCATCGCACAGTACTGATTCATTGTTGTTTTTACAGCTGCTGGAATCGAGACAAAGTGTGCTGGCTGATGACGAGGTGGAACTCTGGAAATCCGCCACCGTAGAGCTCACGTCGGACGGAGGGGACGGCGTTGTTGGGGGGGTCTCGGGGTGGATTGTACGGTCGCCACACACACACGAGCCGCCTGCACAACAGACCTGCCTCGGAAAACACGGCGCCAGTGACGGTCTACAACCCAGTTACTCAGCTGTAAACTAATCGGTCAGCTCTTATTCAAACGGGGGGAAAATGACTGCACATTTCATGAATCCCATTTTCTGCCTGAAACGATCGCTTCAGCGACCCTCCTGGGTGAGAGCTTGTGGAAGCAATAATCCTCTATATGTGTCAAGCTAGGAGAAGGATTTTAGAGGTCATTCCATCTGTCTCTATTTGTCAGTTTACTGGCATCTTTAAAACTTTATCTTCCGACTAATGGAATTTTAAAAGCCAGATTCAAATGAGCAACCATATCATCCTCAGGTCAGCAGACTTATACGTTACATGGGGGGTGTTGGGGTGATGGGGGAAGGGGGAGTTGCAACTAGTGATAAAAACACAGGACTATCACCCAGGACGCTGTCCTGTGTGAAACCATTTCCATGCTCATTTAATTCACCTTACTTTACATATTACAGAAGTTAAACTGGAGGGTTGCATGTACCCCCATTTGAAGTACCAACATGTAGTTTCAACAGTCCTCCAGCAGAGAGAGCAGCAAGCCAGAGTAAACACTGTATCTGATATGAATGAGACAGAGGGAAGGGAGGATAGATGTCACAGGAGGAAACCTCATCACAGTGTTTCCTCAGGTCACAGACATTCCAGCAGGGCGGACCAGAAGGACGCTTCTTGTCCTTGTGTCTTGTTCCTGTCCATCGTTTCATGGCCGCCTACAGCTGATATTAAACGTATACGGGTGATCTCAGTGAGGGAATACCAGCAGACCCCCTCCTCCTCTTGCAGATTGATCTCTTTCTACTCCACCTCGTGATGTAAGACATGACAACATATTGAACCCACATTGCAAGCAGAAGGCATGATTGGGCGTCAATGCTTTCATGCACACGGAGGCAAACAATGAATACATGGCGGCCTGTTTTTAGGCAAGGTTTTTCAAATCAGATAACTAGAAGCGGCTGTCAGGAAGGGGGGGATAGAAGGGAGGACTCAAACGCAGAGTTTTTCAAAAAAACAAAAAGGCTTTAATAGTTCCAAGTTCCAAAAAGGCAAGATTCCAAGAAGCAGGACGTAGACAAGAAGCATGAACGCAGTGACATGCACCTCCGGACAATATGCAATGACAAAGAAACAAGAGACAGACATGGCTTAAATACACTAGAGAGGTGCTGGTGATTGGAAACAGCTGGAAAAAGTCATGACATGACAGACAATCACAGGGGAAGACAGGACAAGGCAGGAAGTGAAGTTACCAGGGAGACA